GCTGTTTGTCTGCCTTCTTTAAACCCATCACTACCCACTGCCTTGAGTGTACCTTTGACACCCACCCTCATTGTTCCAGTCCTCCCTTCTGATCTGCCCCAAAGACAAGCACAACTCTCCTTTTTTTCTTTTTTTAATGGCTTTAATGCTGACCTCCACAGAGAAACACATTGGGGAAAACAGAGATAAAAGCAGGTGAAGTGACAAAGAATCTAGGAAGTTGTCTCAAGGCCGTAGCCTTGAGCCTTACCTATCAAGCCCCCTTCCAAGATGGTAATGGGCAGCCTACTGGACTTTTGCTCTCAGGCAAAGATTCAAAGGGTGTGGCTCACAAAACATACCCTGATACTTTTCTAAAAAAAATTTTTAAATGGTTTTCATTTCTCCCAGTTATAAAGAAACACATGGACTCTGAAGAAAAATTAATGGTAAATAAAAATATAAAGAATAAATCACCCTAATTCTACAACCCAGAAATAATCATCAACATTTTGTTCTCATCTTTTTTTAATCTTTAACTAGATAAACTTTATCAGCACACATATAATATATACCTTTCCTATACAATGTATACCAGCCAGAAATAACCTTTAACACTTCTTCAAGTCTCTTCTCTGTCTTTAACTAGATAAATGATTATCAGTACACATAAGATGCATATCTCTCATAATTATGAATTATGTTGGTCACTATTATGATAGTGAAAAGCTCAAAACAACTTAAATGTCCTTTAATAGGAAATGGTTAAACTAGAATATGTTATGTACTCTAGAATATGGAATACTAAGTGATATTTTTCTAAAAGTGCTATTGTGGAAATGTGTTTATTGAAATGGAATGATATTTATAATGTATTGTGTATGTTTAAAAAGGAGGGGGAGGAGTTTTTTTAACCACATTTAAATTTTTTTCAATAATTTACAAAGGGAGGGAGGGTGCAAAATTGTGTTTATGGTAATACCCTTTTCTTGGTGTGAAAAATAAATTTTACATACCAGGCACTGAGCTAAGCACTTTACATACATTATCTAATTTAATTATCATGGCTTTGGTAAAATTTTTTAAAATTTCCTCTTCACAGAAATACGAGGGACTGCCCTGGTGGCACAGTGGTTAAGAATCCGCCTGCCAATGCAGGGGGCACAGGTTTGATCCCTGGTCGGGGAAGATCCCACATGCCGCAGAGCAACTAAGCCCATGCGCCACAACTGCTGAAGCTCACGTGCCCTAGGGCCCGCGTGCTGCAACTACTGAAGCCTGTGCCCCTACAGCCCGTGCTCCACAACAAGAGAAGCCACCGCAATGAGAAGCCGCAACAAAGAGCAGCCCTTGCTCGCCGCAACTAGAGAAAGCCTATGCGTAGCAAAAAAACCCAACACAGCTTAAAATAAATAAATAAATATTTTTTAAATGAAGAGCAGAGAAAATATTTGAAAAAAAACAAAAAAAAAACCACATGAGGACTCCAAGATAACATTAATGCAAAAATTGTCAGGGGTAGAAAGGAGAGGGAGAATTAAGTCTCCCCTAGGTAAGGCAATACAGCTTGGGCACCCAGGAACCTGGAGAGGATGAGCCCCCAGAAGGGGTTTGGGGTTGGGACATGTAGAGCATGAGGGGCTTCTGGGGAAGAGGTCAACCGTTGGGGACAGAGACATCTGGAGCTTGAGCTGCTGGAATCCAACCTCACCTGTGTCATCATTTTGATGTTCCCTTTTGGAGTCAATCCAATGATTTGGCAAAGGGTGGTGTCACAGGGATTTTCTTTGAAATAGTTCAGAATGGGGAGCAGAGCCTCAGGAATGTCGAATGGGATTGATGAATTCTTGAACTTAAAAGGGTCGCTCTGCTGTGAGAAACCCTGGGTACCTTCAGAGCCCCAGCTCCTTCACTATTGGACAAAGATCACTTAGTGTTCATCTTTTTACTGAGCTTCCTACCCCAAGCACGTAAGAACCTGCTACCCTGTAGGAAAGCACGTCCCGCACCTTCCGTGTAGTTAACTACCCAACCTAAACCCAGAGGAAGAAGCAGCACCAGGCCCCTCTTTGGGACACATCATCCCCTCTCCCTCCTCTGATGTGACTGATTACCAGGTCACTCTTCTACTTGCCAACAGCCACCACTGTTTCTGTTCCAGACAGAACTCCGATGGCACATCTGGTGCCTAGTTTTCCATGGGGCAGGGGCAAGATGGCTGCAGACCTCTGGCGATGGGCATGGACTTTCTGCAGAACCAGTAACAGATGCAGAGCTAGGACAGATCAGGGCTTGGCCGCAGGGAGGTCCATGGAAGAAAAGGACAAATGCCAGGCAGGCTGATTCGGGCAAGACTACACAGAAGCCAGATTTGAATGCACGTTGGGCAGAAGTACTTGCTCCACACATGAGACTTTCCCAGGAAAATGAAAAGGGAGATCTATCACTTGAAACCACTCCAGAAAAAGAAATCCCCGGGTAAAAATCATGAGTAATTCCAGAGATGGAGTTAAGACCCAGAATTACACATAGTCAATAATAATTTCCTCTAGTGATTGCATTTAAACTTAATGCTTTCTTTTGAAACAGATAATGAAGTACGCCCTTACATGAATTTTGGAACTGAGCGCTTAACTGAGGAAGGCCCTTGAGGGACACACCCAAGACCCCTAAATTCACACCAGGGAGGCAGCCACCCCTCCGCCAAGGATTGCAGATGCCCACCCCACAATGGACACTACGCTCTTTAGCTCTTATTAGGGAAGCTGTTTTTACCTCTCATCATTCCCTTTGACTATTCAAGATGGTTTTAATCATTAAGATCTGAAATCTCATTGCTGCACCAGCATTTTTGTTTGCAGTCTAGAAAAGTACATAATTAAATACTGGTTATCAGATAATCAATAATCAAATCTACTTGATTCACAGGCTATCAGCTAGTTTTATAATCTCTAATGTCGTAGGCAGTTACTGTACTCATTAGCCTCTGAGCAGGAAGTCCATTTCCATGAGTGGAACCAAACTCAAGTGTATTCCTGTCCCCACCTTAGTTTAAGGACATTAGCATGGTTTTATTTCCTAATTTTATTTCCCTCTTTCTTTGTATGTTTAATTAGGCTATAGATTCTTTGAACTCTTAACTCCTGATTTGTTGTGTCTCTCACAGGGTTTACCAGAAGGCTAGGCCCACAGGCACTCTCAGTACTGAGATTCCAGTAGGAATATGGTACTGTATCATCTGTTCTGTCAGCATCACAGGTGTCCACAATATTAGAGATGGAAGGGACTTACAAATATAACATACTTCAACTCCCTCATGTTACAGATGAGAACAGTGAGACTTAGAGAGGGTGAATGGCTTGTGCAGGTTCCCACAGCACAGAAGCCAGGACTAGAATTCAGGCCCCCAGTTTCCAAGATCAGTGTTTTTCCATAATTATAGTGAACACCATCTCAGTTTAAGAGGAGGTGCTTCCCCATCCAGAAGAGCCTTGTGTTTGTAACTCTCCATGGGGCAGCCAGGGGGATTGCTCCTGGGTATCCAGGCAGGTGGCTGCAAGGCCTCTCTGATGCTACCACAGCATCTGACACTCCAGGGACTGATTCTGGGAGGGGTCCCAGATTTTAGGGGCCTAAGAGACCAGACCAAACCCTATACCTCTTTGAGTCCTTGGTGGGGGATTTAGAAGAAATCTTGGCTCTCAGAGATGGTGACAGAAGGAGGAAGAAAGAGAAGGGAAATAACCTGACAAAGATGCAGGCACTAATCCCCTCTCCTCGACAGAAAATGGGAGAACTTAAGCTTTGGCATATCTCCTGGAAATGACTTGCAAAAGAAGCACTTTGGAAAGTGCCTTTGATTTGGTTTAGGCCAGAAGACCACACAAGGAATGAATATTCTCTGGATGCTGTCTACAGACAGCCTATCCTGGAAATAATTGGCTACCTTGCATCAGCCTTCGCCTGTGTGGTTTGATTCAGAAAATTGATAAAGAATAAATAAATGATAAAGAGTAAATCCTAAGAGTTCTCATCACAAGAAAAATTTTTTTTTCTGTTTCTTTAATTTTGTATCTATATGAGATGATGGATGTTCACTTAATTTATTGTGCTAATCATTTCTTGATGTATGTAAGTCAAATCATTATGCCATACACTTATACGATGCTGTCTGTCAATTACATCTCAATGAAACTGGAAGGGAAAAAAAGAATAAATGGACATTAATTTTTCCTGTCAAGTCATTTTCTCTTAAGACAGGTCGGGCAGAAGCACGTCGTAGGGAATGTTTTACACTTTCCTCTGCAACTCCAGGGCTGAGCACAGACCTGGCACAGATTAGGTCAAAGCAGATTTACCAGTGAAGGGCCCCTCACTTGCACCACTCCTTCTGAAGTCCAGGGAGGAGGCCCCGCAATGTGTTCACTAGCCATATGCCTTGTAATTTGCAAAAGAAAAGGTTTCAGGCATAATTGTCTGTAGCTATTTGTGTTACTTTAATCAAGAATCCTGGCTAATGTACACAGTAAGTGCTGGAGCTAGGACTTGAACCCAGGCTCTTAGTTCTGGTCCTGTGCTCCCTCTATCATGCCACTCATGTAACTCATCTCAGGCTACAAGCCAAGCAAACCTTGCTGCTACCCTGGCAGGTAAAAGTCAGAATCCAGGGCTTCCCTGGTGGTACAGTGGTTAAGAATCCACCTGCCAATGCAGGGGACACGGGTTCGAGCCCTGGTCTGGGAAGATCTCCCATGCCGCAAAGCAACTAAGCCCGTGGGCCACAACTACTGAGCCTGTGCTCTAGAGCCCATGAGCCACAACTACTGAGCCCACGAGCCTAGAGCCCATTCTCCACAACAAGAGAAGCCACCGCAATGAGAAGCCTGTGCACAGCAACAAAGAGTAGCCCCCACTTACCACAACTAGAGAAAGCCCACAGCAGCAATGAAGACCCAATGCAGCCAAACATAAATAAAATTTTTAAAAAAAAGTCAAAATCCATGGGGAGGAGTTTTACCTACCTGACTCCTAAAACTACTTGCAGGAGAGTGCAAATGCCAGAGACGAAGAAAATGGTGCTGATGAGGTAGCTCTGGGTCAGGGGGTCATGCTGCAAACACAGGTCCTTGGCCAGGATGAGTGGAATTGCCACGAGTCCCCCCAGGGCTGTGAGGAAGTGCTGTGGGCAGAGCAGAGAGAAGAGATGGGCTTGGAGATGCTGTAGTTGCCTACTCTACCTTCATTCCTATTCCTACTGCCAGAGGCAAGAGTTCCATCTCTGGTCTCAGAGGAGCCTGGCCTTGAGCGACAGGCAGCGAGATCCAGGCAAGCAGTGGGAAGGAACCAGGAAGCCCTGGCAGCAAGAAGCAGGGACCCAGCCAGCAGGTCTGGGGTTCAAGGGCAGGACCCTACTGCCAAGAACTGATGTTCTAGGTAAGAAATCAAGGCAGGGACACAGCACAGGAGGATATAACATGAACCAAGGAGGGGACCTTAAGAACAAGAACAAGGCAAGAGGCTCATTATTAAAATAAGGCACAAGGTGAGGGCAAGACCATTGACCAGGATGGCCTGAGCACATTCTCCAAGATAGATCATATGTTAGGTCACAAAACAGCCTTAGCAAATTTAAGAAGATTGAAACCATACCAAGAATCTTTTCTGTCTGCAATGGTATGAAACTAGAAATCAATAACAGGAGGAAAACTGGACACAAATTTGTGGAACTTAAGCATCACACTTCTGAACAATCAATGGGTCAAAGAAGAAATCAAAAGGGAAATCAAAAAATATCTTAAGACAGGCTTCCCTGGTGGCGCAGTGGTTGAGAGTCCGCCTGCCGATGTAGGGGACAGGAGTTCGTGCCCCGGTCCGGGAAGATCCCACATGCCGCGGAGCGGCTGGGCCCGTGAGCCATGGCCGCTGAGCCTGCACGTCCAGAGCCTGTGCTCCGCAATGGGAGAGGCCACAACAGTGAGAGGCCTGCGCACCACAAAAATATATATATATGTATATCTTAAGACAACTGAAAATGGAAACAAAACATACCAAAACTACTGGGATGCAGCAAAAGCAGTTCTAAGAGGAAAGTTTATAGCAATAAATGCCTACATTAAGAAAAAAGAAAGATCTCAAATAAACAACCTAACTTTATTCCTCAAGGAAGTAGAAAAGGAAGAACAACCTCCAAAGTTAGAAGAAGAAAGGAAAAAACAATGATCAAAGCAGAAATAAATGAAATGAAAAACAACAGAAAAAAATCAGCAAAACTAGAGCTGGTTTTTTAAGATAAGCAAACCCTTAGCTAAACTCAGAAAAAAGGGGAGAAGACTCAAATAAAATTAGAAATGATACAAAAGAAATACAAAGTACCATAAACACTAGTGTGAACAATTACACACCAACAAATTGGATAACCTAGAAGAAATGGATAAATTACTAGAAACACACAACTTACCAAGACTGAATCATGAAGAAATAGAAAACCTGTACAGACCAATAAGTAGTGAGGAGACTGAAACAGTAATCAAAACTTTCCAATGAAGAAAAGCCCAGGAACACCGGTGAATTCTATCAAACGTCTAAAGAAGAATTAGTACCAAGCCTTCCCAAACTATTCCAAAAACTGAAGAGGAGGAAACACTCCCAAACTCATTTTACAAGGCCAGCATAAACCCTGATACCAAAGCCAGATAAGGACACTACAAGAAAAGAAAACTACATGTCAATATCCTTCATGGATATAGATGTAAAAATTCTCAACAAAAATACTAGCAAACTGAATTCAACAGCACATTAAAAGGGTCATACACCATAATCAAGCGGGATTTTACCCCTGGATGCAAGAATGGTCAATATACACAAGTCAAAAAATATGATACACCACATTAATAAAATTAAAGACAAAAATCATATGATCATCTCAATAAACGCAGAAAGAGTATTTGACAAAATTCAACATCCTTTCATGATAAAAATATCTACATTATCCATTTTATTGGCTCATAATAATATTTTTAAAAATAGTATGACATTTGCTCTTATTTTGTAGAAAAGCACAGAGAAGTTAACAAAAAAGTGTATCCCATCCCTGGTACCCCACATTGAACTGTTTGTAAAATTAAAAGAAACACATCTATAAGATTAGAAGATTCAAGCTACAAAAGTTACAAAATAAATAGCGAAAGTTGAAAGCCACCCTTCCTTTCCTAGCTTCTCTTCCCAAGGCTAAATACCTCTATTAGTTTCTTGTGAATTCTTCAAAACATGCAAAATTACTACATATACTTATTTCTATTGTTCTATCTCTCTTTTGTTTGTTAGTTTTTAACACAAAAAAAGATCACATTATACACAGTTATTTACTTGGCTTTTTTCACTTAATATATATTGGTGATCATTTTTTAACTGCAAGGTAGATACATCTTTCTCTTTCTAACAGCTACATAAAAAAATTACTTGTTAGGATGTGCCACAGTTCTCTAAGATGGATATTCTGGGGATGTTTCTAGGGTTTTGTTTGTTCGTTTGTTGTGATTTTACTATTACCAAAAGAAGAACATCTTTGTACTTACCTTAATGAGTCTTGCCAGCATATCTATAGAGAAATCCTTCTTTTTTTTTTTTAATTTGGCCGTGCCACACGGCTTGCAGGATCTTAGTTCCCCAACCAGGGACTGAACCCCGCCCTCAGCAGTGAAAGCGCAGAGTCCTAACCACTGGACCACTGGGGTATTCCCTACAGAGAAATTCTTATGCATTAGGGACTGGGTTAAACAATATATATGTTTTACATGTTCACAGAAAAGTTGCACCAAATAACATTCCAACAAAAGTGTTTGAGAGTGCTTGTTTCCCAATATTCCCCAAGCATTGGTTATCAAACTCTTTAGTTGTTGCCAAACAAATTATAATTGGTATCTTGAAAAAAAAACCCAACACCACAATGTTGGGTGTCCTTTATGTGACCTATTAGCTCAGCATGGGGGAGAATCCTCCCTTAACTCCACGCCCCACCCCCAAACTCCTTGAGAGAAAGAGAGACTGGAGGAGCCTTGAGCCCCCTGGAGGTCAACAACATAGAAGGCAAGAATATCAACAACATGGAAGCCAAGAATATCAGCAATTTGACCTGAGTGTGTGTTCATGTGCCTTTTGAGGCAGAGCTTCTTCGAACCCAGTGCTTATGGGTGGCATTACCTGCACTCCCAAGAAGATACAGAGATACCATGGTGGGATATCCAGGATGCTATAAGCCAGGTTACTGCTGAGACCCCTAGGCTGGCCATCCTTCTTCCTGCCTTGGCCACCTTCATGGGAGTTGAATACACCATCACCCTTCTGCTGAGAACAAGAGAAGAACACATTTGAGCATTTCAAGAGGAATCCAGTGGACTTTTGATGCCGAAACCTCGGCCTCTGTCCACTGGTACTGAATCAAATCTCAGAGACAGAGTTTGGGGTGAATTAGAAAAGAATAACTTTATTATTTTGCTAGGCAAAGGGGGACACAGTGGTCTCCTGCCCTAAAAAACTGTGTGTCCCAACCTGGGAGGATCTGGTGAGGAGTTTTATAGCAACGGTTCAAAGGTGGATTTGCTGATAAGATTAGGGTGTGTGCAGGGCCTGCACTCCTTTAATCTGATCTCAGGTAATCTGATGAGTTTCTGTGGTTCTTTTAATCTGGCCTCAGGTGGTCTTCTTGAAGGAGGTTGTTCTTCTCTGGTTCCTTTAAGCTGGAATGAAGAATGCTGACATCTTCCATTTATTGGGGGTTTTAGTTCTATAAAGAGCTCAGAAGATACAGTTATGTGTATCCCTTGAGGCTGAACCAGGACCCTGGAACCAGGAGCCTGTCCCAAGGCTGCACTATGGTTTCTTGGCTGCTCCTCCCTTGTCTCTGCAACCCCTCCCTTCCCTGATTAGCAACTGTTTGAATCTGTCCTTTGGGACTCAGGGAAGGTCATGGAAGCTGGAGTCTGTTCCCTACGAACAAGGAACTGGGAACACGGAAAGGCTTCCGTGCCCAGGAGCCCCCTAGGGTCCTGCTCAGTTTCACTTTCTGATTTCAACCAGACAGATGCACAGCTTTCCAGAGGCAAGAGCGATGGGACAGAGATAACTGCTGGCCTGCTTGGGATTTCTAGGTCAAAAGACCGGTGATTTTCTATATTATACATCTGCAGCAAGACCTCCACATGCAGTCTGGGGCCAATCAAGAGAGGTGGGTGCCTTGCCTGAAGCCCTGGTAGAGAAGAAACTTTGTGGAGGAGGGAATGGGGGTCAACTCCACGGTCAGGAAATGGGCAGGTAAATGGGGATTCTGGCCCAGAACGGTGTAGCTGCCCTTGCATACGCTCCTACAGGCCAGCCTTGCGCCAAAGCCCTCATCACAGCATGTTGATTATAATGGATGGACTGTTTCCTTATCCATCTCTTCTGCTGGGGTGTGAGTTCCTAGAATGCATTCACTGTGCCTTATTCTTTTTGTCCCAGCTTCTAGAATAGTCTGTGCGCTCAGTCTGAACAGTCTGAGTGTATGGATGAATGAATAGATATAACACAAATGTAAATAAGTGCAGGGCATACAGAATGCTCTAGGGTCAATAGTCAAGTTATATTCGTACCAGTTTAACCCCCAATTAACTTTGAATCGTAGACCTTCTCCTCCAACTTACTGGCTATATAGTTTACCAAACTTGGGCAAATTACTAATATTTTTAAGCCTCATTTTTCTGATCTATACAACAGAAATGTCAATAACATCTACTTCATAGTTGAGCCAGTCCTCCTCCTCCATGGGGTAGGGCACTGGCAAATCCGATCCTAGTTCCTTCCCAGTACTCGGGGCGCACATCACTGGTGATGGAGAAAATGGCCCAGCACACTGAGCCTCCAGGCAGCCGGAGGAGCCCAGGGCCGTGGTCAGGCTTGCTGACCATGGGTGGACTGAGCCAACCACAGCACAGCTCCGCAGAGTCACATTGCTCCTGGGCCTCAGAACAGCGTTTGCTCATTAACCTTCTAGCATTTAGTTTCTGAAACTTAAATGTAAGGATTTTGTCTCTACTCATCTATTTAGCAATGCCTGGGAATAAGCATCCCAAAACTGTTCCAGGAAGCATTCCCTGACTTCACTCCACCCCGGCCTCAGACCAGACGAGGCCTTCCCTCCTCAGAGGCATGTTTACTACAGCCCAGAACACACCTCACTACCATATGTCTTCTCGTCCTAAAGGCCATAAAGTCCCAAAACTACTCCATCTCTAGCACAGAGTTAGTGCTCACAGCATTCTCTGTTGAGCTATAAAATAAATGAACCCACGTATAATGACCATAAAGAACTTTTCTCACGGATTTTAAAAAATAAATACTTAACTGGTTAGAATTCTTTGGAAACAACACGCTGATCTTATTTACACTCCTGAAAAGAAGGAGGCACTGATGCTACTTGGTACTTGGGTCGCACAAGAAGGACGGCTGGCTCTGCCTAAGGAGGTCAACGCCAAGCCAAAGATGGCCGGGAGGCTGCTGGAGGGAAGTCTGGAGCACTTATCGCGAGGTTTTAGTGAAGGCGTGGCACAGTCAGTGAGCACGACAGCAAGAGCGGGAGAACAGGCTGAGGAAAAAAGAGGAGGGGCAGAAGGAAAGAGCGGCTGGCTGATTGGCTGGTTGGTTGATTGATGCTGGGTAGGCTACACAGAACAGCAGAGCGCGCAGTTTGGAGTGGGGGAGACGTGGTCTGTCATTCCCCTGCTTGGCAGCCATAGACACTTCACTTTCCCTCTCCCAGCCTCAGTGTCCCCTTCTAACTCTGGGATGGTTGCAAAAATACTGGAAGTCTGTGTGGCTGCCTGTTATGTGCGCCGGTGATTGAGCTCACCAGGCTGGGGCAGGTACAGCTGCCAGCAAACTCACCTCATACCTTCTCCCAGGACCCCTCGGAATTCTCAGAAAGGTGATGGGGAGGGAAACACTGACTGAGGGAAATGTTAGTTTGGGGTCTTTTTTTTTTTTTTTCCTATTAAGAGTCAATGACTCAAAGAGTGTTCTCAGCCTGATGACCTCTGAATGTTCTAAGTTCTGTCTAGATATCAACTTGGACCATCTGAAGGTTATAGAAACCACTTCTGTAATCGTTTTAAAACAGTTTTCTGGGAAATTGACCTTGTATGAGGTCCCACATGAAAAAAAAAAACCTAGAACTGAGAGTGGGGAAAAACTTGTCTTCGTTGAGAACGGCTGGTTCTTCGCTTCTGATAGGAGTGTGAGACTTCTGTGAAACCCGTCAGTCATGGCTGGTAGAAAGCATAGGGCCTGATCAAAATACATCTTTTGTTGTAAACTACCTTACATCACTTATGCAAAGCACTGGGACAAAAAATAAAATAAGAAGGTACACAGTGTACCTGAGATTCCTGTGTGTCAGAGATGAGTCACTAGCATATTAAAGACACACATAGAAACAAGTGACATCCCAGAGGTATTTTAGAGCAGGGGCTTCTCAGATGGAGGTGGAAGAAGTCCCATCTCAGGGCATATCCGGATACGGGAAGCGCCTTTATCCCAGGAGAATCCCTGGGCGGGAAAATTCTGTGAGTCTTAGAGCAGCTGAAGATCGCCTACAAATACCTTTTTGAAGGAAGAATGAACTCTTAATGAAGCTTCCCTGCCAGTGAGCACTGGTGTGAGAAGGGGGGCCACAAAGTCTCCTGGTTGGAATTGTCTGTCAACTCAACACACGAGCTGTAATTTCGCCAAAAGCCTTGCTCCAAAGAGGCATTGTGCTGAGGCTTGGCATTTTATAGTGCTTCACAGTTTGCAAAGACCTTCCAATGCATCCTCTCGTTTGATTCTCACAACCCAGTTTAAGGATGAGGAGACTGAGGCTTGTCCGAGGTCCCCTTGTAAATGGGAGAATGGAACCCTCCTCTTTCGGTGTCGAGGGCAGCTGCTGGCAGGTGCTTCCCTGTGAGTACAGGGACAGCTTGCCAGCTCTCAGGAGCAGACCAGCAGAGCAGCAGGAGACTCTGCTGCAGAGGGAGCAGCAGTGGGAAGGAGGGTGCCTGGGGGGGGAAGTGAATCCCTTGGCCCTCTGACTCCATCCATTCCCCATACAGCCTCCCACTCCCTGATGTGCCCCTCTAGCTTTGCTTCCTAACACTTCCATTCAGCTGACTCTAGCCAATGGGATTGACCATATCCCTCCAAACGTGGCCTCAATTATCCTGCCTCAGTGCCTTTGCTCACCCTGTGCTCCCTACCTGATCCCCACGACCCTGCTTCCCCTAAACCCACCTTCAAAGAGCTCAATGCCTCCTTTTCCTGTACCTCTTCTGCTTCCCCCACCCGATATGATTGCCCTCCTTGTACTCCCAACACATCTTGTCGCTCTGTTATGTAATTCACCATCTTCTCCCTTGTATCAGAAATATTTTTTTATACCCCGCTTTCCCCTAGCTAGGCCATAAGCTTTCAAGGTGGGGAAGCTGTCTTCCCCATGTTTATATCCCTAGAAGATTCTAGCAAAGCAATATGCACTTGAAAACCAAAAACATCTCAGAAAATGGCCTCTTAATCTGGGTGCTGAAACTGAGGCTTTGAAGAAAATAACAAGACAGGCCACTGAAAAAAAATCAGATGTGTCCAGACTCTTCTACTCCCTACTGGCCTCAGGTGACCAATGAGGTGGAAAACATCACAGCCTTCAGAAAATGGAGTCTTCAACTTATTTCCCAAGATTTTTTTTTTTTTGGCTTCCATAAGGTAGTGGCAGAAGTGTTTTATTTTTTTTAAAAAAAAGGCCCAAAATGGAGTCACTTATGCTAAGCCCCATGTTGGCAAACCAAGACTTAATATCTCACCTAACTGCAGTTTCAGTCTCTCCCAGGAATGTAACCTTTAACCAGTCAGTCGAATTATCTGGTCAGCACTAGTGAGCTGATCTGCCTGGTAGACACCTGCTTTCAGGAAAGTGACCTCACCTGAAACAATCCACTCTTTGATAGAATAACTTCCTTGCCCTGCCTCCTTCTGCCTATAAAACTCTTCCATTTTGTACAGCTCCTCAAAGCTCCTTTCTATTTGCTATGATGGGATGCTGCCTGTTTCATGAATCATTGAATAAAGTCAATTAGAGCTTTAAATTTACTCCATTGAATTTTGTTTTTTAACAGAAGGAATTCTTTGGAGAAGACAGGAGATTTCTCTCAGGTGTCTTCCACAATATTCCAGAAGAGATGGTCAGGGTCTCTTTACCAGAAGGCTGGCCAGCAGTGGGCAGGGTCTGACAGCCTGGCTCCAGGCGATAGTTCTGAGGGCCCAGCCTAGGTTCGTGGGTGGCACCTGTCCCACAGACACTATGGCTGCGCCTGGTTGGGGGAGGCTCTTTCTGGCTACGGTGGGCAGAGGGTCCCCACTCAGTTGCCCCTGTTGTTTTTAGGTGGCCAAAATAGGTTGGAGAGAATGGTAGGACCAGGGCTCAAGGACGAGCTACAGAGGCCTCCAGATAGGTTACTGTCACTTTACTTCTCTGGGCCTCAGTTTCCTCATCTGTAAAATGGGAACAGAGGTGCATGCTTCATTAGCTTGAAGGTAGAAAACAAAGTATACAAAGTGCCTGGGGCATACTGGTTATTCCGTAAATGTTAGTTCCCTCTCTCTCTCTCTCTCTCTCTCTCTCTGCTTCCCTCTCTTTGTCTTGCTTCAGAAAGGGCTTCTGATCAAAGAAATCATAATGCTGAGAAACCTACAAAACAATCATTTAGACTCAACAGAGTAAAGCAAAGAGGACTTTTCAGCTCTCCCTTCTTCCTTTGTAATTCATTCACAGAGTTTGGCACCCAGGGAGGAATCTTTGCCTCTGTGAGGGTGAGGTTGGGAGGACAGCTCTAATAATCCAAAGTCTTACCTAGAACACGAGTCAATGTCCTTAGCACTAAAAATGAACCCGCATTAGGACTTCATGCTGGGACCCCCTCCAGGCATCTTTCCTCCTTTCTGCTACTCCACCCCACCCCTTATGTTTCCCTCTCTTCTACCAGCGCTCACCAAGGGCTCGGGGTGCTCACAGCTGGTGATGGCAGAGTTCATGGCCGCTTAGGGTCTTCCCCTGTTGGCTTCCTCTCAGAACAAAAAAGAAGCCGCTCCAGGAGAGGAAGATTAACTTCTCACCGCCAGCCAAAATGATCAGAGAAAGAGGAGGATCTGGGCCAGCTCCGGGGAGGGTGGGGCCTCCAAGCCCCACCTGCTGGTCTGCAACAGACTCCCCCTCCAGCCCTCTCCGGTCACACTGCAGGGGACCAAGGTGCCTTCAGTGGCAGGGAATGTTTCACAATTTGATAAGTATGGGTAATTGCAGGAGAAGTTAATGATCCCTCTTGCTACCAAGGAAACAAATCAGGGTGCAGCCTCTTGGGATGTGGCAGGAGAGCACTTTCCGGAAGCCAGGTTTCCAGGGGCAGGAAATGAGGGGGATGAGGGTGAGGCTCTGGGCTGAACACAGAGGCTTTTCTGTGTTCTAAAGCTGATTTCTAGCGACCGGCTGAGCCGGAATGAAAGCATTGCAAAAGTAGCGCAAGTAGCCTGGCCCCTGAGATGTACTAATGCAGTCATTAGACACGGAAAGGTGTTGCTGCTGACCTGGGAGAGGCCACTAAGGCGGGAGCAAAGGCCTCAGGTGAGAGACGGAGGAAAAAAATGCTTCTAATCCTTGGGTGCTTGTCTCCCTAATACCCAGAAACTTCTAATAACCCCCCTTTCAGAGAGACAAGCCCAGGAAGGTATAGTCTTGCTCTTATTCTACACACGGCACTAAAACGCTCCTCCAAAACTCTCAATAAACCCCACTCTATGAAGTCCAGTGCAAGCAAATACCTGCTATTCATAATGATGGAATGTTCTGGAACGGGTAGCACTGGGTCTCAAGTTTCGGGAAACACACAGTGGGACACACGTAGACGTTGATGGGAGTCGGTCCAAGAAGAAGCCCTGAAAAATACAACAATGAGAAGTCTGACAAGGGAGGGGACAGAGCTGACTTAGGCTGTAACAGAAAAACCAAGGTTAGAAGAAGAGAGTCAAAGGTCAGTAATTACTGAAAACTTTGCACTGCACTACACCTTTTTTTTTTTTTTTTTTTGCGGTACGCGGGCCTCTCACTGTTGTGGCCTCTCCCGTTGCGGAGCACAGGCTCCGGACGCGCAGGCTCAGCGGCCATGGCTCACGGGCCCAGCCGCTCCGCGGCATGTGGTATCTTCCCGGACCGGGGCACGAACCCGTGTCCCCTGCATCGGCAGGCGGACCCTCAACCACTGCGCCACCAGGGAAGCCCCCCTTTTTTTTTTTTTTAATCTTAATGTGCACAAAAAAATAGCATTCACATCCTTATTTTACAGGATTAAAAATCCTGTAAATTCAGGGTTTTTTAAGATTAAGAAATTTGGGTGTCGATGGGTTAAGCTATTTGCGCAAGAGTCATAGCAAATACAGGAGCCGAGATTCAAACCCAGACAGTCTTGTTCCACAGTCCACGGGGCTCAAGGAGATGCCCAACAGAGACAGGCAAGCGCCCTGGGTCTGAAGATGCACAAGGTGGGGCTCGGAGGAGATGGTCCAGGGAGTGTGGCCGGAGGGGCTTCCCCATGCTACCTGGAAAGGAAACACAGATCCTCTACAAAAGGCACCAGGGGCTCCAAGTTCACCTGAGAAGGGAAGGTGAGGCTGCTCGGCTCCAGGCGGCATGGGTCCTGCAGCTGTCGGGGTCCCCTGGGCACACTAAGTGTTCAGTTCCCAGGGCGGGTGAGGCAGGAGGTAAGGAGAGAGACCAGGTGCCAACATTCAATGGACAGTGAAGACCACGAGCTTCGGCTGTTGCTCCAGGAAGGCCAGGCTGGGGGGTGCGGGGGTCCGAGGGGGGGCTGCCTGCACTACCCCCAGCCCCCCTACCCTCACAGACCTGTGGGCACAGGCAAAGTTGAGGTCACGCTGGACATCTCTTTTCCCTGTCACCTTCTGGGACGGCACAGAAGTGGGAGGCTTCTCAGCCTCTGCCCTCCCCACACTTAAGGTCCTTCCTCACTCCACTTCACCCTTTCCTCTCCCTGCCGTTGGCTGGGGTGTACAATTAAACTCCTCTGTAACCTGAGACAAAATGGTGCGGGGTTAGCTACACAACTGAGGCAAAGCAGAAAGATGGTCTCCTGTCACCCCTTCGTTCGGTTGCCTGTACAGTGTGTTCAGAGCCTTCCTCCCTCTGTATCCTCAGGTTCTCTCTTCTGAGCCTGACGCTCAGTCCCACACGGTTCTTTGTACAGGCCCTCCCAGCGTTCACCCTTTGGCTTGCGGTCACCGCCGCTGTCCCCACCTTGCTCAGCAGCTCAGAGGCGGAGCCGAGCCAGTCCCTTTCCTCTTCCTCCACCTTCCACGCCTTAGAAGTCACTTCCAGGGAATTCCCTAGCGGTCCAGGGGTTAGGACTCGGCAATTTCACTGCCGAGGGCCCGGGTTTCGTCCCTGGTCAGGGAACTATAAGATCCCGCAAGCCGCGGGCCTCAGCCAAAAAAAAAAAAAAGTCACTTCCACAGACTAGTCCCTCCACTCATCACTAGCCAGGCCTGGCTTTGAAACAGGAGGGAAGGGAGCAGGGCACAGCCTTTAAACAAATGACATAGCCCTTAAAGATATAACATGAACTGGCTAGAACCTACTAGGTCCAAGATGGCTGAAGATTCGACTCCCAGTAGCCCTTGAGCCTCGCTATACGCTCATTATAATATATTAACATGCTAATGACACACCCACAGGCGCCACGGCAGTTCTGTGGCCGACCATAAAAGGCCAAAAAGTGGGCGGTGGTTCATTTCCTGGAAATCCCCGCCCCTTCTCCAAGATAGTTGAAATAATCCTCCTCCTCATTAGCCTATGAAATTACCCAGCCCATAAACACTAACCACCCCATATTTCGGGGCCTCTCGCCTTCTGAGATGGCCCACGCTCTGTCTGTGGAGTGTGTTTCTCCCATGGCTGCTCTCACTTTCCGAGATGACCCCATGCCCTGGGGCCACTCTTGCCTTTTGAGACTGTCCGCATTCTATGGAATGTGTATCTCTCTAAATAAATCCACTTCTTACCTATCGCTTTGGCTCTCACTGAATTCTTTCTGCACTGAGACAAAAAGAACCTGAACCGGGCTTCCCTGGTGGCGCAGTGGTTGAGAGTCCGCCTCCCAATGCAGGGGACACGGGTTCGTGTCCCGGTCTGGGAGGATCCCACATGCCGTGGAGCGGCTAGGCCCATGAGCCATGGCCGCTGAGCCTGCGCGTCCGGAGCCTGTGCTCCGCAACGGGAGAGGCCACAACAGTGAAAGGCCCGCGTACCGAAAAATAAATAAATTAAAAGAACCTGAACTTCAGTAGGTCCTGAGACCAGGTGTGTGATTTTAATTAAAAGACAGTGGGTTCAAGTCCCAATCGGGGTTTTGGCTGGGTTCAAGTCCCATCTGATTTGTGCAGTTTCAGCTTCTGCTACCATTTCTCACCCCTAAGCCACGGTGGTACCCGCAACTCTCCCACGGTCTCAGCTGCCCCAGCTGGTGGTCCTGCCCTCCCTCCCCAGCTGGAATGATCCTGCTACCCCATACACACACCAGCCTGAGGTTCGCCACACACACCCAACACATTCACATGTGATTATTATTTATGACGCTGTGTTTCAAGTTACGGAAATCTAGTTCTAATAATTAGTTCTCGCAATGAGAGAAATTGGTTTTAAGAACATGGAGTCTCTCTGGGAACCCATGATCTTTCCTCAAACACATGAAAGAGTTAAAACTCTTCCATTACATTTGCACACATAAACTTCTAATCCCAAATTTGAGGCAGTTCCTCAGGCCCCAGCCACTTTGGGAGGAGAAAGGCACTGGACCTCTCCATATGTAATGCATCATGGCCCCACCGAAAGCACCATCTTTGTGTGGAATAAGCTACACAGGGAGGCTTGACCTGGACCTTTTCACTGTTGAGGGCAGCTAAATTGGCTGTTGGCTGTCATAGGAGGGAAGCTGCCAAGAGACAGCCATAGGGCAAGTCACACCTGACAGCAAGAATGAAAGAGGCCAGCAGCGTTTCTCAGAAGGTCAAGCTAAACTCAGGGTGCACCTCTTGGTCTTGCCATTGAGAATCCATTTAGCCTCCCCTCATTTTCCTCTTGGGAACCATCCTGACCCACAGCAACCAGTCCATGGGCTTCAGGCAGGGTTTACTCTGCCCCGTGGTGCCCTGCATGAGGGTGAGGGGCCAGCTGGAGCACTGCAAACTCCTGGTCACAGCCTTAGATTAGCAATGGTCATGGCAACCAACCAGAGACAACAGATGCAATGGAACTTTGCTGGGCCTCTGGGGAGAGAGGCATTCTCTCTTTCTCACTAAACCTGAACCTAAAGGATGCTGGTCTGTAGCTGCTGACAGCCATCTCATGATACATAGACCAGGTCCCAGTGATATTTGAATCTATACATCAAGCCATACACCTCTGCTAAAAAGTTCTCTTTTTGGCTTAAACAAATTTGATTTGTGTTTTCTGTCATTTGCAACCAAAAAACCAATCCACAACTTATACTTTGATCTCCAGTCCTAGACTGGTTCTAGAATAACTTATACAACATTTGCCAACTATTTACCCTTCACCAACAATGACTGTTAAATTTCAAGGGCATTAAAAATAACTTAAACATCGATTCCAATGCTGACGACCTCAACATATTTCTACACAACAGAATCAATTGTCTAAAATGTGACAAAAACAACCCAAGGGAGTATTGAGGAAACAATTTAAGGACTACTTGTCTCTGAGATGCTTCATTCAAATGAAAACCTAATTCGTTAATCTTATACTCTTGATGTGAAAGGCCAAGAGACCAACATTAGTCATGGAGGCTGGGGGTTTCTAAATCTTTATCAAGCTCTGACTTGTTTTAACAGAAATTGAAGGTGTAGAATTTTAGGTTTGTATTTGCAAACTTATTTACTTCAAATTTTGATATGTGCAGCTTGGGAAAGCTGCCTCGAGTGGATTGTGGCTTTTAATTTATGACCTC